GGGTGGGGGGGATAACAAAATAGTCTCCAAACAGAAATTGGGAAAACTCATAAATAAATATATTAAAACTACTTGAGGATCAGCTTGAGTTCCTGAGAGAACGTGAATTCAAAACCCAACCTTTTGCTGCGGTGAGAGTGACTCTGGATACTTTGGGGCAATTTTCCTCTGTCAACCTGTGGTGGCTGGTGCCAATAACTGTGATACAGCACAGCTGTGGAACAGCTCAATAGTGTTACAGCTTAATAACCAAGCAGAATGGCTGCAAGGCAGTCTTGGGAAGGAGATTCCTTTCAAGCTAGGCAGATCCGGGGTCTGCTGGGGTCTGCTGGGGTCTGCTGGGGGTGGTTCAGCTCCAGCTGAGGAAACACAGCTTTCAGTCTTCGGGTGGAAAGGCAAAGCGTGCTCTCGCCAAGCCACAGGGAAGCTGACTTCCCTAGACAGAAGTTCCTCCCCCTTGTCTCAGCATGGTCTATCCTCATGCAAATGAGGACTCCAAATCCTCTCAGTCTGATTGGCCCCCAAAACACTGTCCTGATTGGTCAGAATGGAGCCTCTCTGATTGGTCAGTACAGATCGCACAGTTCTGATTGGAGAGGGGAAGCCTAAGTCCTGTTGGTCGTAAGGTCATTCCAGGTAGTCCTTCATAAGGGCTGGCTCAGGTGGCGGGAAAGCGGGACAGTCAGGCGGTTCAGTGCCGGGAGGCGGGCAGCTTAGTGCAGGCTTCTTCCTGAGGCAGGGTTCGCATGCGAGGCCCCTGATGAGAAATGGCTGCTAGGCTCTGTTTTTTTAAATCTGAACTCAGTCAGCCACCAGGAGCCCTTCTCGGTAGGCATCTTCTTTCTCAGGGTCCACGACTCCAAGTCGCAATCTACTTTTCAGGGTTGAGCCGGCTGTGGCTTGGGCAGTAACTCTCTGACATGGCCAGCAGAGTGCTCCTACCAATCATGGGCCATAATTGACCAGCTATTACCTCCAGTTCTCATCAAAACCCTCGGCGAATCAGAGAAAAGGGAATGGTAAAACCGCTTTCTCCAAAGACAACACAAACAGAAATTGGGATGCTTACACAAATTTTTAGCATATTTAAGTATGTAATATTTAACAGCAGGATTGGCAGATTTTTTACTTGGCAGCTCAGAACCCTCGAATTTACCAAATTTAAAATGTATTTTTGACATCACTTAGCCCCCCCCCCCAAATACCCCCACGTACTTGAATTGAGGAAGCACATGAGCTGTCAGTTGAAAAGAAAATGATTACTCTAATTCTCTAAGAAACCGCCAGAGTGGGGAGAAAAAGAATCGATACACAAAAAATATATTAAAATTAGGAGCATAGTCCTTTCAAAACATCTATGATAATGCAGGCAAAGACGTTTCTTTATTTATGTAAAAATAATTTACAGAATTTGAACCAAAAAGGACTTCCAAAGAATTGAAGACATGCAGAGCTTCAGTGAGCTACAATGCAAATGGTCGGGCTTCCAGGTGTATTTCCTGTGAGGTCTTCAAGGAACAGTTATTGCTACTGCTAATTAAATGGTTTCAATCATTAAGGGGATAAAAGCTAAGTGTTATCAATAGAAAATATATTATGATGATAAAACCGTTGGAAAAAAGTTTACAACGGAGATCGATTTGGACCGTGATGATAGTGTTCACGTGAATCCCAAAGCTACACGAAGGTGCTCTTTTGATTACAGATTCTCAAGGAGATCTTTTTTCCCCACCAAAAATCAAAAGCATGGAATAGTTTCTGTCCCCTGTGGCATCTTCCTTTCCCAATAGGAAAGGTCCAATTTTTCTTGAAAGGTGCAGTCATTCAAGAATCTACAATTATTAAAGGTCTCAGTGGACTATTACCGTCTGTCACTTTTCGCACAAAGATGAGTATTTAAAATAATGTACATAATCATGTTTCAAGTTATTTTGTATTTTCGATGGAAGAGTGTTACGTTTTTCTATTTCATCTATTTTCCAAATTAAAAGTATCTAAAAGTGTCCCTTCAAAAATAACTGAAGTTAGGGTCACTAAGTGGTACTCAGCTGGTGTCTAAACTACTCTGCAATGTAAGAGACAACGCACACTTGGAGAAGGACCTCTCCAAGGGGGTGACTGGCAGGATAGGCAGATTTTTTTTTTTTTTTTGACACGGCTGCACAGAACTCCCAAACGGCAAGGCAGAAGCTATGCGTCCTCTTCAAGATAAACTCCGCAATGGGCAAAATATCACTTTCTGTGTACTCCATTGGTGAAAGCAATTACAAGCCTGCCCAGTGCCAAGAAGAGGGGAAAACAGACATGCCTTACCAATGGGAGAGGTGTCCAGGAATGACTAGCCTTCACAAATCTAACAAACCCTGCTGTGCAACACCCATTTCTTGAGATGCTGCTGGGTGCCATGTAAGTGGTATGTCCATACAAGAAAGACCTTGCTTCCCTGGGCCACAGTGGCAAACCCTAGAATAGTTTTCCACTTGACTTACCCTTATCCGGGTGACGTCACGAATGTAGTGAATCCCTACAGCCCAGGGCAGAGCTTTCACCCGAAGCCGCTGGAAGTTTACGACCGTAACAGACATCCTCTCCCGCTCCTGGGTGCCTGGACATAGAGACATAGGTGAACAGATGGACAGAAAGGAGAATTTTCAGGTGAGTTCAGGCTAAAAAGAGCCATACCGGAAACTGGTCCCAATATCCGGTTTCCTGATTTGGGGCCACTGAGTTTCCCAGTTACCTTGTGGTCTGTCCTTGCAGGGGATCCCTAACACCTGAGACCCCATCGCAACCCCCACCCTCGTCTCCATTTTGCCTACGAATGTACATATCTTCAGAGTCGTAAATGGGACACGTTTGGGAGTCGCAGAAGGAACTGAAGGAGGAGGAAAAGCAGAAGCTGCCCCTGATGTCTGCAGTGCCACGCTGTTGCAGTTTGCTTCGGGAAACACTTGGTTAAGCAAGTCCGTTTGAATTGATTCTCAAAAGGAGATTGAGGTAGGTGAAGCAAATCAGTGCTGCATTTCCTTTTGGTTTAAAGTATTTCCTTTCGAGCTGGTGAATCCAGAGGAACATGGTCACTAGGACTTACTGAAAGGTTGAACTACTCAAAGTTCTAATGCCATGTGTGATGAACCAGACCCTAGAGTGAGGTTCGGGGCATCACCTGGGTGTCCTGTGACCTTGGGTAATGCCCTTCACCTCTCTGGGAGTATCCCATCAAGGAAAGAACACCAAGTCCCCAGAAGGGAGAGACTTCACTATGCCAGTCCAATATTTATAAGAAGAACAGTAATGATGCACGAGTCCTCCTTTCAAAAAATCCCCAGGGGTGCATGACAAAATGCCTGGATAATCATCAGGGCCACCCAAGTCAGGGACTTCTGGTCAAGATGGCAGAGTAGGTAGACGCTGTGCTCGCCTCCTCCCATGACCACACCAGAATTACAACTAAATTATAGAACAGCCATCATTGAGAACCACCTGAAGACTAGCTGAACAGAATTTCTACACCTAAGGACATAAAGCAGAGGCATTGCTGCCACTGATACCAGGGGCACAGACGTGGAATGGGCTGGTCCCACACACACGGTGTGGTGGATGAGAATCAAGAGGGATATCTCAGCTGCGGAGGTTCTGAACCCTTAGGAGTGAAGGTTCCCAGCCCCACACAGGGCTCCCCATCCCGGGGCACCAGCGCAAGGAAGAGAAGCCCTCATGACATCTGGCTGTGTGAACCAGTGGGGTTTGTGTCTGAGAAGGACGACAAGCTGCTAAAGGCCTAGGGGCTGCTGGTCTTAACGTGCCTACACGCAGACTTTCTCCCTGACAAACTCACTCACTCAGAGGTCCAGCACAGGGGCAGCAGCTCCAAAAGTGATAAGCACCAGGGATGGCAGAGTAGGAACTGAATGGAGTAGTCAAGGCAAGGGCTGGTGGTGCACGGTTCAGAGCAGGTCTCTCTTGCAACCAAAGTGCCGGCAGACGCCATTGCTCCTTTGTTGAGCCCTTCCCTCTCGTCGCAGACAGATGCAGGCAGGCACGAAATCTGAATGCTCCATTTATGTGGCTAACACCATTTGCCCTGTTCTGATGATTCCTCGTGACCCCGCCCCACGCAACTTGCAGGCCCTGCCCGAACCTCTTTCAGCAGCTTTCGCACAAATGGCTGGCTTCTGCTCACACTGTGGACTTTCCTAAAATCTCTCAAAGATCCACAAACCCCAAACCTCAAGAAACACGAAAAATCTCAAATAAACAATCTAACCTTACAACTAAAGGAACTAGAAAAAGAACAACAAACAAAGCCCAAAGTCAGTAGAAGGAAGGAAATAATATAGATCAGAGGGGAAGCAAACAAAACCGAGTCTAGAAAAAACAACACAAAAGATCAGTGAATCCACAAGCTGATTCTTTGAAAAGATTTAAAATGTTGATAAATCCTTAACCATACTCATCAAGGATAAAAGAGAGGACCCGAAGAAATAAAATCAGAAATGAAAGTGGAGAAGTGACAACTGACACCACAGAAACACAAAGGATTATTAGAAAACACTGCAACCAATTATATGCCAATGAATTGGACAGCCTGGAAGAAACGGATAAATTCCTGGAAACATACACTCTTCCAAGAATGAATCGAGAAGAAACAGAAAATCTGAACAGACCGACAACTGCTAACGGAATCGAATCGGTAACCAAAAAACGTCCAACAAACAAAAGTCCCGGACCGAATGGCTTCGAAGGTGAATTTTACCAAACATTCAAAGAAGAACTAACACCTAACCTCAAACTGTTCCAAAAAAAATTGAAGGAGGAAGGGAAGGCTCCCAGGCTCATTTTACGAGACCAGCAAAACCCTGACACCAAAACCAGACAAAGGCATTACGAAAAGGGAAAATTATGGGCTGATATCCCTGATGAACATAGATGCAAAAATCTTCAACAAAATCCTAGCAATCCGAGTTTAGCAACACATTAAAAAGATCGAGACGAGTCAAGATGGCCTAGAATGTAGAGGCTGTGCACACTTCCTCTAGCGATCACGCCAAAATTATAACAAAACTACACAGCAACCAGTACGCTGTGTCGCCAGAGGTCACCTCAAATAACAAGTCATCTCAAAAGGGTAGGAGAGGCGGAGATGCGAAATGGCCCAACAGCAGTGCGGCCATCGAGAATTGGGAGGGCTATCTTGGCTGCAAAGCCCCCTCCCCCACCCGAAGAGCGAGGGGTCCCAGCCGCACACTGGGCTCCCCAGCCCAGGGTTCTAGTGCCGGGAAGAGAAGTCCCCACAACTTCTGGCTATGAAAACCAGCGGAGGTTATGGCCGAGTGGGGCAGAGTGCTGCGGGGAATTGGAAACCATTCCTCTTAAAGGGCCCACGCCCGGCTTTACTTGCTGACGGACTTGCTTGCTCTGAGCTCCAGTGCCGGGGCAGCTGCCCCAGGGGTGCCAGGGACATACAGGGAGGCGCTGAGCTGTCGGGCTTCAAGGAGAGGGCTGGGGGTCTCTGCCTGGCTCCCTGACAGAGGTGCAGGCAGAAGCCATTGTTCTTTTGTTGAGCCCATTCACCTCCCAGGTTGCAGACGCAGGCGCGGTCAACCTGGATAACACAGGTGGTGTCATCCAGGGGATTCCCTGAGACTCTGTCTCTCCCAACTCATGGGCCCTCCCAAGCCTCTTCCAGTGATGTATGCCATACAAATGGGCTGTCTTGGCTGAGCAGCCCCAAGCCCCGCATCAGTGGCCGCTGGCCTCGGTGTCTGACATGGTCCCTCGAGGCACCTGTAAGCCCAGCACGGGTGGCAGCCATATGTGGATGGCTTGGTGACTCTTACTAGGTGGCCCTGGAGATGCCCAGTCTGCGTCCGAATTTGGCCTGTAGCTGGACCCCTCCCTGGTCTGCACCAAGGGGCCCCACAGCACACCTACTACATAAAGCCACTCTACTAAGTTCGGGAGATCTAAGGACCCTACCTAATACATAGAAACTGACACAGGGAGGCAACCAAATTGGAGAGACAAAGAAGCATGTCCCACGTGAAAGAACAGAACAAAGCTCCAAAAAAAGAATTCACCAAAATGGAGACAAGCAATATATCAGATGCAGAGTTCAAGACACTGCTTATAAGGATGCTCAAGGAACTTAGGGGAAGAAATGATGACCTCAGTGAGACCTTTAACAAAGAGATTTAAAAAAAAACAAAGCATAAAAATGGAGATGGGACACATAAAAGGGAGCCAGTACGAAATGAAGAATGCAATATCTGAGACGAAGAGTTCATTAGAGGGAATCAACAGAGTGGATGAATGGAGGATCGAATCGGCGACATAGGGGATGAGGTAGCAGAGGACACCTAATCAGAACAGTAACAAGGAAAAATAATGCAAAAACACGAAGATAGTTTAAGAAGCCTCTGAGACAACATCGAGCATAACAACATTCGCATCTCAGGAGTACCAGAAGGAGAAGAGAGAGAAAGCAAGGAATTGAAAACCTACTTGAAGAAATAATGATGGAAAACTTCCCTAACCTGGTGAGGGAAATAGACATACAACCCCAGGAAGTCCAGAAAATCCGAAAAAAAGGATGAACCCAAAGAGGCCCACACCAAGACACATCATAATTAGAATGCCAAAGGTTAAATTCAAAGAGCGAATCTTAAAAGCAGCAAGTAAAAAGCAATTGGTTACCTACAATGGAACGCCCATAGGACTGTCAGCTGATCTCTCAACAGAGACTTTAGAGGCCAGAAGGGCTTGGCACAAAATACTCAAAGCAACGAAAACCCAGGACCTACAACCAAGATTACTTTACCCAGCAAAGTTATCATTTAGAATTGAAGGACAGATGAAGAGCTTCCCAGACAAGAAAAAGCTAAAGGAGTTCATCACCTCCAAACTAGTATTACAGGAAATGTTACAGGGATTACGAGGAGGAGGAGGAGGAGAGAAAAGATAAAAAATATGAATAATAAAATGGTAATAACTACATATCTACCAACAATTACTTTCAATATAAAAGGATTAAATGTTCCAATCATTCAGATAGAACAAGACAAATGCCATATGATTGCACGTATGTGTGGAATCTAAAGAACAAAACAAACAAACAAACAAAGCCAAAATGAACTCATAGGTACAGAGAACATTTTAAGGGTTACCAGATGGGAAAGGGGTTGGGGAGTCGGTGAAAAAGGGGGACGGATTAAGGAGTAAAAATTGGTAGTTACAAAATAGTCATGGAGATAGAAAGTGTAGCATAAAGAATATAGTCAATAATATTGTAATAACTACATACGGTGTTAGAGGGGCACTAGATTTATTGGGGTGATCACTTTGTGAGTTATATAGATGTCTAATCACTCCATTGTACACTTGAAACATGTAGTATTGTATGCCAACTATAACTGAAAAAAAACTATTAAGTAAAAAAAAAAAAAATGATCATACACCATGATCAGGAGGGACTTATTCATGGGATGCCAGGTTGGTTCAATATCTGCAAATCAGTTAACATGATATACCACACAAACAACAGGTGCAGAAAATGCATTAGACAAAATCCAGCTCCCGTTTATGACACAAACTCTCAGCAAAGTCGCAATAAAGGGAACATACCTCAGCATAATGAAGGCCATATTTGACAAACCCATGGCTAATATCATACTCAATGGTGAAAAGCTAAAAGCTTTTTCTTCAAGATCAGGAACAAGTCAAGGATATCCACTTTCACCACTTTTATTCAACATAGTATTGCAAGTCCTAGCCACAGCAATCAGAC